CTGATATCGTACGACGAATCAAAGTCAACAGACTCCGTTGGGCTGGACATGTCGTTAGGAGACCTGTTGAAGCTCCCATTAATAAAGTCTTTAAGAATGTTTTTGTAGATGGCAAAAGAACACGCGGGCGACCCAAGAACTCTTGGAAAGAAGCTGTTGACAGAGACAGTATTGCATTTGGTATGGTTAATTGGCAAACGGAAGCCAGCGACAGAGTCAGCTTCAGGCGCCATCTAAGGGAGGCCATGGATCACAATTGATCTGTACGGCCAGCGAAGTAAAAGTAAGTAAGTATATTAATAATAATTTTATTTAAGGGTTTGATGCTTAGTTTGAAGCTGTGTACCCACATCAAGAGCTATGTACCCACATCAACAGCTGTGTACCCACACCAAGAGCTGTGTGCCACTATCAAAAGCAGTGTCCCCACATCAAGAGTTGTGTCGCCACATCAAGAGTTGTGTACCCATATCAAGAGCTGTGTCCATACATCAAGAGCTGTGTTCCCACATGAATAGCTGTGTACCTACATCAAGAGCTGTGTCCCCACCTCCTCACATCAAGAGTTGTGTACCCACATCAACAGCTGTGCATGACTTTCGAAAGCAAAGAACCTCTTTCAATTGCTGTGTACCCCTATCTAGACCTGTTTTCCCAATTAAGAGCTGTGAACCTCTTAAACTTGCATCCGTCATCATCAACACTGGGAAAAAACTGCTCTATATCTAATTAAGCACAAACACACTCCCTAATTTACTATCGTAATAAAAATTGAGCAATTAATTTGCACAAACTTTCGTTCTCATTTTCCTGTTTTTGTTATTTTCATCGATGGAATAAAAATTTTTTTTTTCTTCCTGGTTCCATGATGTCGCCCTCCATTCTACAGAAATAAAAACACGATATTCCCTATGGAGTCATTCAAGCATGGCTTATATGTGAATCCGGTTTGAGAAATAAAAATTTATCTAAATAGAACGCAATTTCTCCCAGAGATCAAACAATATTGGAGCTTGTAATGTTATTTTCTACTTTATGTAATTGTCTTTTGAGTTTCTCATTTGGGAGAATGGCTGGTAAATGTACAACAAGATGGCATGGGGGTAAAAGAAGATGAACGGATGGGAGTTGCGTAACACGAGAGGAAAAAGGAAATATCCATTTGATGTTAAAGGAGAGAAAAGAAATTACATGTTGAGGCGGATGTTCTTAATTTTTAGAACATTTTTTGCAAAATAAATGGGCCTAAAGTTTTTTATTGCTAGGTATGGGATATGTTATTAAATTTAATGGTTGTGTCTTGACTTGCTGATGGTCTTTAAGTTTAAAGTAATAATGTTAAGTTCTTGATGTGAATATTTAATTTTGAGCTCATGTTAGATTTGATACAGATCCTATTCTTTTGGTCATGGGTCATATAAGGCTGAATGAGCTATTACACACTGCCCAGGTCACACATCAGGATGGGAAAAATCTTGTTTAACATTATGAAGGCTTTGATGAGTCCATAATTCAAGTTACTTACTTTAAACAGGCAATATCTAAAAAATGCGCTTCATAACCTCAACTAATAGTGCCGCTTTAACTTGCTCAATATTTTTTCATATTACTTTTCCGTTTTGCTTACAAAAAAACTTTTCCTTTCCGTTTATACTTTTATTTTCAATCGCACAACTTTCTGTTTTCCTTTTTTCCGCATAACACACTGAGTCGTCGACACGAGAACAAAGAAGAGCCTGAACATCTCACACCCTCAATACAGAATAATAAGAAGAAAGTGAAATGAAATTATTTGATAAGAATCCGAATGAAGCACATAAAAAGCTGTCGAGATGAAGGCGATGAAAAGAAATCATTGAAAGCTTTTTTTTGTCTTCTTTAAGTTTTTGTACTTGATAATCAATATGGAATAGGAGAGCTGAGAAGTGGTTTTAGGCAGTTTGTGTTGGAAATTGAGATTTGAAGGTCTTTTGAGAGCATTTGAAGACGATTGAGGGGTTAATTGGATTCTTAATGGAAAGAGATCAAAAATTGAGGTCATCCCCAAGCAACCAGTCAGAACCGATTAAACTGTCATAAAATATTCATAACTTCATCTTTAATATCCAATATTGTACTTTTATCTCTAGAAAACGACTTCAATATGCTTCACAAAGGAAATGAGATTTTCAACTTTTTCATTTCTGTTTCTCAAGAGTCGTCCATATCCATTTTTGCTGTATGTTTTGTCTATTTCATTTCTTTCTTGTTTTTAAGATGACAAACTAGTTAAAGAAGAAATCTAAAGTCTTATAGTCAAATTGGTAAGTAGAATAAAGCCACATAAAATTTTATCCTGCGCACCATTTAGATGCACACAATTTCGATGATGCAATTAAAATTTCTAATCTGCACTCTATTCTATATCCTTAATCTAACTTAATCTTAGACTTTTGCTTTTTCATAAAACTTTTTCTCATTTTCTCGTTTTTATATCAATTTTCTCCATCAATATTGTCTTAATCTGTTTCAATGAATGCAATAATGAGAAAATACGAGAGCAATAAGAGATTCTCAGCCCGTCTTTAAGTATCGCTACAAAATGAACGAGAACGAAAGAAAAATAACAATTTCGAGAAAATTAAAAGGCTTTTTTGTGTGCTTTTTAGATTGAGGAGAATAAAAAGCAGTTCTGAAGCAGTTAAAGGCTAATGGTGTTGGATATTAAGGTGAAAAGTTTACACTAAATGAGAACTTCAGATATACAAAGTTCAAGCAAGTCATGGAAAAAATCCATCAAGAGCAAAAACGTACAGATTTAAAATCTTATTTCAAAAAGAAAATATTGAATTTGAAGGCGAAAGAATCAAAAAAAGAAACAAAAGATTTAATTAAAAAATTGCTTCTTTTCCATCGTGGCTGAGTCTAAAAGAGAAACTTCGAAATAATGAACAAAGGGAATGGAAAAGAAATTTTTCATCGTAAGAAAAGTTTAGAATTTGAGAAATATTTAAGGTAAGGAATAAGAAAAATTATTTAATTGAGCTTAAAAGATCACAAAGCTCTAGTGTGAAGGCAGCTGAATTTGAAAACATTAGGGTAAAATTGGAACTTAAAAACAATAAAGTGAAGACGACTGAATTAAATACTAGTGTGAAACCACCCGAATTTAACAAAACCTAGTGTAAAGGCACCTGAATCTCAAAATTTCTAGTGTAAAGACACCTGAACCCAAAAGCTTTTGTTTAAAGGCACCTGAATTTCAAAATTTCTAGTGTAAATGCACCTGAATTCAAAATTTCCAACAAAATACTCACGCAAGATACAATTTACCTACTTAACGTCTATCGACTGTCAGGAAAAAAAATGGAAAAGTAAACAAAAAAGTTTCCTTCATCAATCTTTAAACTGTTTTGAATATCAAATATCAAAAATTGATTTATTACACGAAACAATTTCCTTCTTAAATACTTCAACATACCGTTCCCCACCCTGAAAAGCTGAAAAATTTCAAGTACCTTGAATTATTCATAGATTTATTCCCACAAACTGTGTGCGAACTGTAAACAAATTTATGTACATCAAAATCATCTGGCTGCTTATTTTCCTTTTTATGTTTTATGCTCTATAAATGTGCTGCTCGTGTTGTGCAAACGAATATGAATCAACTTGCTTTATATTCTATTTGATTTAAACATGCAATCACTATAAATAAATAGACGAGGAAAAGACGGAGGAATTATGAGCGCGGTTTTCATGTATGATACATTTTAGATTTTGGCTCGGTTTCCACAAATTGGAAATTAAATAAATAAATCATTTGCAATTTTTAAATAAGTTGAAAATTTTTGAGTGCGTTTTCATTTGAAGGAAAATTTCGAATTAGAGAAATCTACGCTCAACACAAATCATTTATTCATTAACTCGTTTATTACTATTTTCTCTATATACATTTCCCTATTCTTTATTTATAATGTAAATAAAGTCTTAAAAACTTTCTCTTTTTCTCATTTTTCTCTTCATTTCTTTCCCATAAAAAAAGGATTAAAAGCTTCTTATTTCTTTTTTTTTGGTAAGAGTTGTACATGCAGCTTTTGTTATCCTTTTGAATTCAATTATTATAAAACAAAAGGCAGACAAAGTGGATAATTTTATTATGGGTACAAGGACCAAAAAGGAAAACAGAACTTATCGAGTTTTAGAAAAACAGAAAATGGGAAATAAGAGTGAACAGATGAAGCGAGGATAACATAAAGAATTGTCAGGACAATGGAATTAAAAGGATAAGCTGGTGTAATTTTTTAATTAAAATGGATATGATTTTATCTGTTTTGAATAATTTGAGGTGGCTGATTGGTGAATGGGTGTACCAAATTAAAGTCCTTTATCAAACAAAACTAGCTAAATCAATCCTAAGGCCTCATCCACTCAACCATAGAGCCAACTTATAGTAATATCAATTTCCCGCCAAAAATCACCATCCTAACCAGAGAAAAATCTCAGAAAATCTCAATATCTTCAAGCCACATACTTAAAACTTCAAAAACATCTAAAACCCACAAACATAAATCAAACCCACCTTAAATCGACATCAATTACTCAATATCCTTCAAACCTCATAAATTTCCCATTAAATCAAACTCAAATTCCTTCTTTAAAAAACTTATGTGTGTCACAAGAAAGTCAATCAAAATAATCGAGCAATTTTTCAACAACAAGGAGACATTTTTTCTGTAAATTTAAACGACTGTGAATTTCAACGCAATGTTTATCATCAGCAGCAGTGTCTGTGGCAACCAAGAAGTAAAAGTAAAAAAAAGAAATTGAGATAGAAATGAGGAAAATGTTTTTATGCGACATAGAATGTGAGTAATGGAGCATAACAATAGGAATCTAATAGAATATTTTAAGAATATGTTTCTTGTGTATTCAGATATGTTCTTAGTGGTTCAATGCGTATGAAGGGTGGGATGTAGGATGAGGGATTGAGAAATTGCTAGATCATTGAATACTTCTATACTTCAAGGGTTTGGTGCTCTCAGAATCAAAGTTTCAGCTGCCTTCACAATTGAGCATTGAGGTTCAGGTGCTTTCACACTAAGATTGCTGAGTTCAAGTGCCTTCACATTAGAGTTGCTACGTTCAGGTGCCTTCACGATAAGATTCCTGGGTTCAAGTGCCTTCTCATTAGAGTTGCTACGTTCAGGTGCCTTCACATTAGAGTTGTTACGTTCAGGTATCTTCACACTAAGATTGCTGGATTCAAATGCCTTTACACAAAGATTGCTGGGTTCAAGTACCTTCACATTAGAGTTGCTACGTTCAGGTGACTTAACGATAAGATTCCTGAGTTCAAGTGCCTTCTCATTAGAGTTGCTACGTTCAGGTGCCTTCAAACTAAAATTGTTGGGTTCAAGTGCCTTCACATTAGAGTTGCTACGTTCAGGTACCTTCACACTAAGATTGCTGGATTCAAATGTCTTCACACAAAGATTGCTGGGTTCAAGTGCCTTCACATTAGAGTTTTTGCAGTTAAGGTACATTCATACTATAAACTTGCGACTGCTGTTGCCAAACCAGTCTACAGAATTCTCTAGCAAACCCCTTCTAGAACATTATAATATAAATGAGCTCATATACATGTGAAAAAGATATACACATTGAAGCTAGACATTCCATAAAGGAACAGACGAATAAAATATTCTTTTTAGTATGGCTAGTAAGAAGTAGCAGAAGTTCTCATGTTTAATGAACGTTAAGAAGAACAAAGTTGGTCGATGAAATAAAAAGTTTGTTGGATATAAGAAAATAGGAAAGTTTCTGTTTCAGACTGAGGCCAGTTGTGGGGCTAGAGTTGAAATTGGATGAAAAATAGGTCGGATGGCTCAAATTACTCAAGAATTTTAGTAAGAAATGTCAGACGAGTCTCACATAAATTTCAAGTCCATTTTCTCATTTCATTCCTATTAGTCACTTTCCATAATCATCATCAACATCATCTCCATATGAATACATAGAGCTCAAACTTAAGAAATACAAGTCTGATGAATAAATGAATAGTAAAATATTTTTGTATTCATAAAAAAAATCCATTTTGAAGCACTTAAGCATGCTTGAGTGACTGAATTGATTTTTTTTTTTCTGAAAAGCCTACTCAAAAAAAATTGTTTTCAGACTCAATTTTTACAGTCGAGTGGATGAACATGAGCAGTTAATGACTTAATAAATACATATGAAGATTAAAGCATCGTAATTTAGTCGTAAAATTGCAGACTTTTTGACATTAAACATGGGCGATTATCTCCCACATCTCATGTAATTGATAATTATCTTAATTACATTTTCAGCATTTTTGATGATGAAAATTGTCATGGAAATTATAAATGATGATGATTTTAATTGGAATGTGAACTTTATGGTGGAAAATTATCGAAAATTAGATTATGATTTTTGAGTGAGTTGTCACGAATTCGATTGGATGTTATGATGCGGTTAATTTTGGAGTGGGTGGGGCTGTAGATTGTATTTTTGGATGTTTGCTGTAAGTAAGGGTTATAATTGCGAAAATGGTTTGCTATGAAATAATTTTAAAATACTTCAGAGACATTTAGAGACACCAGGAATCCATTTTATGAGATTTTTGATCTTTTTTAAGACATTTTAAGTCAAATTTTTAATTTCTGTATCCCGTATCAAGTACATGATCACCATATTCCCACATAACACCCCCAAAAATTCCAATTAAGTTAAAATATTTCCCAAATTGCAATAAAAAATAAAAATTGAGCAAAATTAAAAACAAGAATGAGAAAAAAATTAAGGAAAGTAGTAAAAAGTTGCAAAGTTGAACAGAAAGAAGCAATAAAATGAAATAAAAAGTAGTGTTGAGAATTAAATGCTCCATAATTTTTCATAGAAGAGCACCGAAGAAAATTAAAAACTTTTTTTTATTTTTATTGAGCTGAATTAATAAAATGAAAGCACTTTTGTATGTAGTGCGAAAGCTTAAGGAACTGAATGAACAATTGTTGTTATTAATTGCAGATGAGTTTTAAGTTATGAGTCTTGGTACTGCGAGTGCAAATGCTGTGAAAATTAATGAATTTTAAAATTTTAAGTTAATGAATCTTGAAATAATGCTTGTAAGTGTGGACTTTGTTGTGTCGAAGAAAACGAAACATTCTAGAAAATTTAAAAAACATTATAAAGATCTCGAAAATTACAAATTATACAACATTTTAATAATTTCTTACTAATTTGTATGTTTTAATTTATCCAAGAAACTTGAACAATTACAAAAATGTTCCCAACTCTTGTGCATAAAAACTTTTCTGTACCTCCTAAAAAACTATTATAAATTGAACAAGATGCAACTTCCAAGTCTCTTTCTTATGCAAGAAGATACACAAAACATTTTTAAGAAGAGATAAATTAAAAAATTGGTTTTGTTTCCATGCTCTGTTGTAGATAGTAGATTGTAGATTTTTGAGTTTAAAGATCTTAAAGCTGATGTTAGTAGTTTGACATTTTTTACGAACTTTTGAGCAAAATGGGATAAGAATGAATTTTTGATAGATTTGCGCTAGTGTGCAGGTTCCTTAACCTAACGAATCTAGTGTGAAGGCACCTAATCACACTAGATTATAGGACTTCAATGATTTTAGTGTCAAGACACCTTAGCTTAATGACTCTAGTGTGAAAGCACCTGAATCTAACAACCCTAGAGTGAAGACACCTGAACGTAGGAAACCTAATGTGAAGGCACCTTAACTCAATAAACCTACTGTGAAAGCACCTGAATCTAACGGCCCCTGATGTGAAGGAACCTGAACTTAGCGACTCTAGTGCGAAGGCACCTGAATCTCAAAATTCTATCAAATAAAAATCCTACATTTTAATTATATCTCAAAAATCTCCAAAAAGGCTCAAAATCTCAAATTACAATAAAAACGTTCTCAGAACCACTTTAAGCATTCCCAACCACAATGTCAAGATAATCTCAAAATAAACTCAAACATTTTAATTAAAGTCTACATGACAATTTCTAAAATTCCTCGTGTCATTTCAGCACTTAATTATCCTTTTTCATTGAGAAAATGTTAAACAAAATAAAAAGACTGTACAAAAAATGAGATTAAATAGCACTCATTAAGCTTCTCATTTTCATCTTGAGAAGAATTTTAAGCCATAGACATTCATTATGTGACAACTTTTAGTCGTTGTATCTGAAATGAAGCGTCACATTCTCTTAAAACATTGAATAAATTGAATTCTTTTGTGCTTCAGAAAAAATATTTCTCGAGTGTGTTGGATGTGATTCATTAATGCTGTTGCTTAAGGAATTTGATCAATGGAATTTGAAGGAAATTTTTGTTTTGTGATTTTTTTTTTGAAAATGTTGATGTGGGTAAATTGAGGGGATTGATTGTTTAAAAAGGACTAGTTTTTGTGGTCTTGGGTATATTATGGTGGGTCATGGAGGATCTCAGTAGCTTTTAATTACTGATGGTTGTTCATAATGCGACATGGAGGTTTGTAGTCAATCATGATATGATACGGTAAGTCATAATCAAAGCAAAGACTGAAATTCATATGTTACGCCCCTATATGAGGTCATGATAAAGCTAAGTCCATAGCTGAAAATTTCATATTCACATTTCTTTGACCTCAAATCGAATATTAAGGTAAAATGTCAATTTATGTACCATATTTAAAGTAAATTTTAATATCTACCCCAAAATATACACCTCAAGTACATAACGACGATAATCTTAAAATTTTCCACTCATTTCTTCTTTGCCGCCTCAAGACGATATAAAAATAATTCTATCAACATAAGCTTCATATTTTCTCATCCAAAATTTCATTATAACGCTCATTTAATTCGAGAAACTCAAGTAATGAAAAGAAGCATCGCAAAATTACCTGAAAATTGCGTAGGTCTTCAAAAAGAGCGCACAACATATTTTTTCGAATTAAACACGAGACATTAAGGCACTTTTGATGCAATAACAGTAAACTCTTCGTTCAAGAACTTGTGTGGGATTTTTGGTAATGAAAGGAAAAGCGTCTGTGGATTCTTTGGCTGAACAGAATTGGTTAATTGGGTTTCTAGGATTAGAAAGGTATTAAAATTGTTTGGCTTTATGGATTAAGATTTTTTGGCTGGTTTGATGATTGAGTAATGTAATTTTTGAAAATTTGGATCGAAAAGGTCAAATGTGAAGGCACCTGAATCTCAAAACTCTATTTTGAAGCCATCCAAAGTAGATCACAAAAACCACAAACAAAATTCTGTAAAAAATTGTTTTGACTCAAAAGACACTTATTGATTATGATCGACATTGTTTCAATTCATGCCAGTAAATGGCATTTTCATATTTTGACGAAAAACATTTTTATGAAATAAAATTGATGCCATTATCAAGATATGTTGTTCCACTTTGCAAACATCAACGTCAAAGTCAATCATGAACTGAATGAAATTGAATTTAATGCAAATAAAAGAATTATGAATATTTTTTGTCAGATTGACATAGCAGCTGTGGCTGATCGAGGTTGATTTTAGGTTTTTCGTGATTTAAGATTCTTCTATTTTGAGGTTTAAGGATGTTCCCAGGATCTCAAAAACTTTTTCATAAGCTCGTGTCATCACCCCAACTCCCAACAAAATCCAAAAATAAAATCATTTTTAATTAAATAATCAACAAATCCAATTTTGAGAACAAGAAAAACTCGACAACGAATAATTTAATCAATTTTTTCTTGATTGCTTGTTTAGCTCGAGACTTTTGTGTGTTTAACATGAGGAAATAAGAAAAAAAGAGATACAAGCTGAATGGAAATAAAAATAAAAAGAAAATTTGCATAAAATACGATTTTGTTATTCAAATCATTTCGAAAAGTTTTGTTGCTCATTTTATCGCAAAAACATTGAAAAAAAATATTTGAAGTTTTAAAAAAAAATTCCATTCTATTCTAATCTAGATTGAAGCTATTCTAACTCTAGTAAACATTTAAAAAACATAAATTCATATGAATTTAAACATACATTGCTGAAAAATAAAATGAAATAAATATTCTGAAAATTTTATTATCTCGTAATTTCTAGCAACACATTTTCTGCATAAATATTGAGCACTTGTCAAATAAACAAGTCGTTCGTGTTGAATTTCAATTTACTGATAACAAATTCAATAAAAAAGATATTTTATAATTTTCACGTTAGAATCGAGGAAGGTCCAAAAAGATTCTAAACTCGCATGATCCATTTGTGCTCAACAAAACTCACAATTTCTTCTCATTTTCATTAAATGATGAAAACTTCTTTTTTTTTCTTAAAAATTAATTTTAAAAGATGCAAATTAAATCTTCACTTAAAACGGAGCGCGAAACTTCCACTCGCGTTCCAGAAAAGCATTTTATTTCAATCATGAACATCTGCATGAAAAAATTTAAAATTTGTTTTTGCATCTTTATTAAAGTGTTGAGGAATAAAATAAAAGGGAGAGTTACATTATTTGTTAAAGGTTGTTTGGACTCTTATGAAGATTTGTATCCATTTAAGGGTTGTCTTTTCGTGGAGTCGCATATATGAAAGAACTAGTTTCCCGCTAAGGGTGCGGAACTGTTAAAAAATGTTAAAAGTTTACAGTTGTTACACGCTTGGCTATGCTACAGTAGCGGCCAAAAGTATCCGGACAAACACAAAAATGTCTATAACTTTTGACTGGATGGTCCAATTTAATTCAAATTTTCACTGGAATACGTAAAATCGAATGACAATTAATAAAAATATTACTTTAATAACAAATCTTTAAAACCAAAAATTTTATTTTAAAAAAACTAAAAATTGAATGGACAAAAGTATCCGGACAAAATTAAAAGTTTAAGAAAAAAATACTCTTTACTAAGTGAATGGCTTATAATGAATAGAATTTTGAGTTCTTCTGTTTAGTACTTTGTTGGGAAGCCCTTAGCATCAATTACTGCTTGACATCGTCGCGGCATTGAGTCCACCAGCTTAATCAAAACATCTATTGAGATCTTTTCCCAAGCATCCTTAATTATAGTGAACAAAGCATTCTGATTTGTAGGTTTTCGACCTGAAATTTGTCTCTCTACATGTTCCCAAAGATGCTCAATCGGATTAAGATCCGGACTTTGAGATGGCCATTCCAAAACTCGGATCTTCTTGGTTTTAAAAAATTCCTTAACGACCTTCGATGTGTGTTTGGGATCGTTATCCTGCTGGAAAATCCAACCTCGAGGCATAACACGTTTGGCATGGGGAAGCATTACTCTGTTGATGATATCTTTATACATTTCCTTGTCCATAATACCAGTAACTCGATGAATCGGACCAACTCCATCACGACTAAAGCATCCCCACACCATAACGTTACCTCCACCATGCTTAACTGTCGGTAACTGATACTTAGGATCGTTTCTATGACCCTTTGGTCGTCTCACAAACTTTATTCCATCAGATCCAAACAACATAAACTTTGATTCATCACTCCAAAGAACTTTTGACCATTGCTCGCGAGTCCAATTAAGATGTTCCTTGGCAAATTTTATTCGGGCATTTCGATTCTTAACAGAAACAAACGGCTTTTTGACGGGACGTCGTCCAAACAATTCTGCATCATTCAATCGACGTTTAGTTGTTCTTGTACTCACTTGAACATTGTAATATTCCTTCATTTCTGCATTCAATGTTACAGCACTCTTACGCGGATCAGCTTTCGATGCATTAATTAAAGCCTTATCTTGTCTTGCAGTTGTCTTTCTGGGTCTTCCTGATTTCGGTAACACGTTATGATTATTTCTTTCTCTAAATCGTCGAACAACATCAGCTATTGTGGACTTTCCAGTACTAAATTGACGTGCAATGTCTCTGTAATTTCGTCCTTGATCTACAGCACTAATAATTGCTTTTTTAACTGGTGAACTTAAATATTTTTGAGTTGACATGATAAATATAAACAAAACGCACAAAATACTTAACAAAAAAGCATTCGTTCAGTGGGAGAGAAGCTTTTTAAACAAATTTCCGTTAAACTTTTAATTTTGTCCGGATACTTTTGTCCATTCAATTTTTAGTTTTTTTAAAATAAAATTTTTGGTTTTAAAGATTTGTTATTAAAGTAATATTTTTATTAATTGTCATTCGATTTTACGTATTCCAGTGAAAATTTGAATTAAATTGGACCATCCAGTCAAAAGTTATAGACATTTTTGTGTTTGTCCGGATACTTTTGGCCGCTACTGTATATCTTCTAAAATATTATTTTTCCGCCTAAATTATCCAAGTTTTCTAAAATGTCACGTCAGATTTCAAATTATCAAGGTCATGTCAAAAGTTTGAGTTTTTGGTTGGCAAACCTAAACTGGTGAACAGAAGTGCTCACAAGGGACGTTAAACATATACGGCCTGTTTCACTAAAGTGGATTATCCTTGATTTCGGATTATCCACTTCAGTTTTTTGGAAATAACTCCAGACACTTAAAACTTTTAAGAGATCTAATGTGTGATCTAGTTAGAGTACTTTGCTCCTTAAATTAACATATACTTAGAATTTTTATATCTTCATTAGTTTGAGAATTATAGCAAAAATCGAAGTTAATCTACTAGATTTGGCTAAAAAATTGAATAATTAATACTTCTTAACGAAAAGTAAAAGTTTAAAGTATACAGAAATTTCAGGCATAGTTCACTCTATTATAATCCAAAATTAGAAATACCACACCTCGCATAAAGTTTAAGATATTTACAAAAAACTGAAGTGGATAATCCGAAATCGAGGATAATCCACTTTAGTGAAACAGGCCGATAAATTTTTAAAACTAGGATTCAAGAGCACGTACAAAAAAAACTGAAACAAGAAGAAACTTTTGTGTTGTTAATTAAGATAAAAAAGAACGAACACTTGAAACTCTGAAATTGCATTTTTTGCATTCAAAAGTTTGAGAAAAAATATAAAAAATAGTTTCGAGTAAGTTCGATTAATAGCGCACTATACAAATAAATGGCTTAAGTATCATCAGTGCCAAGGTACTTGAAGCTCTTAACTCGAAAGTGAAACCACCTGAATCCCAAAACTTAAGATTCCTGATCGCAAAGCACAAATAAACTCAAAGTGATCTAAATCTTCAAAGTTACCCACCCAAAAACTGCTAAATCATAACAAAGTTAAAAACAAACTTTAGGAACTTCTCGAGAATAACAAGTAAGACAACAAAAAAAGAAGAAATGAAGTTTGTAGAATGTTAAAAGTGCACTTGATTGTAATAACAGCAACAATAATGAGAAATTTGTTTTTCATTTCAAAATAAACTTACAAGTTGTCTAAAGTTTGTACATTTCTTGGATCTTGTGTACCCCTCCAACATTCACTTACAATGTAACTTAAGTTAATTAAATTTAAATGAAAATTAAATAAAAGAAGAGAAATTGGAAGTGATTTGTTATTTCTTCTTGCAACTTGTTAGATTTTTTTTCAATTATTCAGCTTGATTGTGTTTACAAGTTGTGAAAAAATAAAGAAAAAGTTTCGATAGAGTAAGAAAAATCCTTAATTGAAAAAGTATATCTTGAAGTGTGTTTGAAGGACTTCCGATCAAAATACAATCTTTGTTCAGGTTTAGACTAGCGTCGACTCTAATCAAAATATACATTTTTACTTCCCTTACAATATATTTCAAGCACATCATTATCAAAATCGCACTATCTATTTAAAAATAAACTTTTAAGCTAGTATTCATAAGATCATAACTTTAAAATAGCCTAATATTAATTTTAAAACGAGCGTATGTAAAAAAATAATTCAAATAAAAGAAAGAGTCGCACAAAGACACGTGTATAAACATAATAATATAAATTTTCGTTCTCCAAATTGTGCTTCAGAGAGATAAAAGACAAAAAATTTCAAATATAAAACAATTTTTTTTTGTCATCATCATCATTTGTCACAGAAATAATTACAGTTAAACAATATTGTACTTTTTTTTCGCATACATTAAATATTTTAACATCATAATAACAAATATATTTTTTTCTGTTGTTACTTGAAACTTCTTCATACAGTAAATAAATTAAAAAGAATTAAGTAATTTTTAGCGGAAAAATGAGAAAGTTTATCAGATAATTAAGTAAGTAAGTGAAATAATGAGGAAAGTTTAACATACAAAAAGTTAAGGATGTAGTAATTTGAGTTGGAAGATTACTAGTGTAAGACTTAAGGATGATTGCTAAGATGGACCAAGATTTTGAGGTTGTGTTTAGCTAAAGTTTGAGGTTATGTTCAGAAAATTTGAGGTTAGGTTCTTAAATTTTTAAGGTTAAGTTCAAAAAATTTGAGGTTAAGTTAAGAAAATTTGAGGTTGAGTTCAGAAAATGTGAGATTAAGTTCACAAAATTTGAGCTTAGATTCATACATTTTAAGATTGTGTACAGAAAATTTTGAGGTTAAGTTCAGAAAATTTTAGGTTAGGTTCAGAAAATTTTGAGGTTAAGTTTAGAAAATTTGAGGTTAAATTCATTAATTTTGGTGTTAAGCTTTGAAAATTTGAGGTTATGTTCATCAAATTTAAGGTTCAGTTCAGAAAATTTGAGGTTAAGTTCAGAAAATTTGAGGTTGAGTTCAGAAAATGTGAGGTTAAGTTCATACATTTTAAGATTGTGTACAGAAAATTTTGAGGTTAAGCTCAGAAAGTTTGAGGTTCGATTCAGATAACTTGGGGATAAGTTTAGAAAATGTGAGGCTAGAATTTGTTAATAAGGCACATCAGCCATTGTTGATGAAGATCTCATACCACATCAGGATAAATTTATTAACATCAATAGCAATAGCAATTCAATAAATATATTCCTACAATATCAAAATTATTATAATCGAATTTCCAACACAAATTACTTACACCTAAGAATAAATATCATTCAAATAAAATCAATAAATATAGAAGAAGTAGCAGAAGAGGAAGAAGAAGTGAAAAATATTTCAATTTACAATCAACTTTACAATTACGCGATAGGATACTTATATATAGATATATTTGATACATATTTTATGCATATCCAAAAAAGCAATAAAAACAATATTTTTTTTAGTCTCACACAAAAAATTTTTGTTTGTTCCACTACCTGATATGATTAACATGATCATTCACATTAGTTGTTGAATTTGGTGCTTGCTCTTCATTTAATGCCGTGTTCGGCGGTACTACTGCCGTGGAATAATATTCGAACAGGGCGACAAACATTTCAAGTGATCGTGTCATTGCCGCCCACATCTCACGTCGACTTTCGGCGTTTTTTTGAAGCTTGCGGGGCTTTCTGTGTGGATTTCTTATGCTATGAGATTTTTTTGTCAATTTTTTTTGGAAGATTATAAGGTAAAATAATTTTTTGAATGAAGATAGAATGAAGGATGAGATGGTTTTAATGGTAAGGATGTGGGTTCAATGTCCGGTTGAGAAGGGTCAGGTACAAATACACACGACAGATATCACAAAACCACGATTGTTATTGAAAATTGGATCAAATTGCATTGTTTTAGTAAAGCAAGGGTTGTTATGGAGGCATTAAGGAAGATTTGAGGTCCATGGCAGATCATGGTTCATTAAGGAACCAAGATTAATTTAAGGATAAGCAAATTTTCAAATAAAAAAGCAATATTAGGCCAATTTTGGATCATTAAAGGATTAAAGGGTTAATTTAAGGAACAATTTGAATCATGAGGAGGCCCAAAGGGTTAAATATTGAATTTGAATGCATACAATGAATCATAAGCAGGTCCAATGGGTCAGATGTGCACATTCATAGACCATAATGAGGACAAGCATCGAATTTGCCAATTTTAAGCAATTTTTCAAAAAGGGATTGTCAATAAATTACGAGACGTTATAAACAAACAAACGTTATATGCACAGACCAAAAAACCAGGGATATATTCATATATTTTGTCACAAAATGCAAAAATTGATTACAGGAAGGATGGCAAATGACACACGGCAGGGTAAAATTTGATTTAGTTCATTGGTAAATTTTTTAATGGTAGCATGGTTAGCATGGTTCATGGCATGTAAAAAAGAAAGATGAAGAAAAAAAGAAATATGAAAATGATGAATTTGATTCAATTTTTAATTTTTTTTTTCAATTTGCTGTTAAATAAAAAACAAATAAATTTGTGATAAAAATGTGAATTTACAGATTAATGTGATAATTTTTATTTTGCGGTGCCAAAGCGAATAAGGTTATGCAATACTTTCTCCTTCATTTTTTTTTGTCAGCATGAAGTTTTTTTTTGGGACTTAGTTGATTTAAGATTAATAATTTTAAATTCTAATTTTGTTTTCAATTTCAACTATTTAAGAATTTTTCCAAAATTTTTATCCGCAATTGGAGGTCGTGTAATTTTATTAGGATGGCTCTGTAATGACTCAATATTTTATGACTTGTGGTCTATATTGTGGATGCATCCTTGACAGTACAAAATATAAAATCAAATTCAATCTAAAAATCATCTAATGCCACCCTAAGTTCATTGAGTTCAAATTTTTTTTTATCAAATTTTCGATGCTATTTTAAGATACAAAATCAAATCGTCTCATTTTTTACTTTCTGCGCTTTATTCTTCTTCATTTTGTTTCGAATGAAGCATCTCGTAGCTTCTACATTTACTTTATTTTCTTCAGAGAAGTAAAAGTTTTAATCAGTGTTGTTAAGCTTGGTCGATATTTGAAGAGGTAGAGATCATACCTGAATCAGACCATGTTAGTAATTTTTACAAAATCTCAGTTTTAGAAATGTTGAGAACATCAAAAAAACAACACTGGATCTGATCAAAAGACGAAAAAAGAGAGAACATTGACGAAAATTTTGTTGGCAAGTGAAATAAAGATGATAGAAAATTAGATTAGAATGATAAAGAAAACAGACAATGAAGTTTATTAGAGACGAATGATTGGTTTATATTTAGAATTATGAATGAAAGTATAGAATAGGACTGATGGTTTGACGTTGCACGTTGTGAAAATATATTCTTAAAGCCTCATCAAACGGGGTACATAACTACGGCTCTACTTGTGTGTAAAGTCAATTTTAAACTAGTTTTCTCTAGAATCATCCCCTGAGTCACCCTGTATTCCACCCTATTGGTCACCCTGTATGTCACCCTGTACATCACTGTACCCGACCTTTATTTGATAAAATTTCAATAAAAACATTAAAAAATCCCTAATTAAAACCAAATGAAATTGTTAAGAAAACATTGCAAATTTCCCGAGCAAACAAGAAAATTGCCTCATAAATAATTTTCCCCAATAAAAGTTTTATTCTTCCGATTTTCATTTCCATTCAGCAAGAAATTATAAATTATCAATGGAAAATAATTTTCCTCAGTCTTTCCAATTATTATCGAAATCTATTTTTTATTAATCAACTTCTTTTTCTCCCTTAATATCTCATTTTTCCAATCAGCCTCGAACATCAAGTCAAGAAAATTAAAGTTTTTTTTTTCATGTTAATTAAAAAAATAATTTTCTTGATGAATAAATTTCAGATTTTAATTAAATTTCATTTTCCATTCGAACCGTAAATTCAATTAGGATTGATTTAAGGGATTATTGAGACATGTAAATGTATAGAGCGTACACGTGGTGTGGTTCACAGTTTGACATAATTAAATGAGCCGTCGTGAACGGAAGTAATAAACTTCTGACTGATATTTTTTGGTTTTTAATTTAATTTTGAACTACTTTTGGTTTATAGGGATGAGAAAGGTGGTGAGTTTCTAGCCTGGATGTGGTGAGTTTCTGCAATCATGACACAATCCATAAAACCTCACCATATGATAAATCTTGCATTCCATCCAGCAATTCTACATCACACATGTCTTTTCATTTCTAATTTCACTTGCCAACAAATATGTCTCCAAAATGCGGAAGTCATTTTTATGGAAAATTATATTCTGACAAAAAAAAATTCTGATCTTTAAGGAACGTCGCATTAAAAAAAATAGTTGAATTCCATCCAAAATCTTGCATAAAATAAAATTAAAATCTCAGCGAATTGCCATGAAAATTAGCTCGAATGGCACAAAACTTATGAGTTGCATTAGCAGAAAGGCATGAGCAGCAACAGCGGGGAATCCAGTGATGCGGATAAATGCAAAACTTCATGTGACAAAAAAATGCAAAGGAGAAAAGCAAAAAGCATAAAAAATATAATTTGCATTAAATTTTACTAATTTTCGTTTTTTTCTATGCATTAAAGCTTTGGCATGTTGAGCATATGCATTGACTTGTCTTGTCTTCTATTTATTGTTGTGCGGTAAAAAGGGAACAGGGAGTTGGTATAAGGCGTGGAATGTTGATGCTGAGTAGTCTTGTTCTTGATTAATCGAGAATATTTTTTTTGTAAATTCACCTAATTCACGAAACTCACCAAACTCACCAAGTTCACCAAATTCATCAAAATCAGCACATTTTTTTTTGATTTCTTGAGTCAGTTGAATTTGATAAATTCAAAAAAATTCTTCAGCTTCATGCTTACTACTCAGCATCTCCAACTCCACCCTCATCCTCAATCTAAAACCTTCAGAGTGCAAACAAGACTTTTTCATTTCCTTTTGTGCATCTTTTTCTACTCATTTAATAACAGAATCTATAATGAATGAGCTTTTAAGTCAGCTTTTATGTTCTATCTTTAAAATAAATGTATGAAAATGGTTTGTGCGGTTGATTGGCTTGCTTGCATGTGAAAATTTCTGTGGCTAAAGTGAAAAAGCTTATCTTTGGCTTGCTTGAATCATGCAAGAATTTTTTTCTCAAAATATATTTGAGTATTTTTGGGTTGATTTGTTATTGAAGAATTTGGCTGGGGTTCGTTTTTAAGTGAAGTCAAGTTTTTCATGTCTTTTGAACTTTTTTTAAGAGTTTTGACCAAAAAAAGGCATCAATTAAAAATCTTAAAATAACGTCACTCACGAAAGCCCCCCAAAAATTGCTTGCTGATGCAAAAATATTTTCCAACAATTTTTTTTGTGGCTCGTGCGAATTTCCATGAGAAAATTTATTCAATATTCATAGTTGTTCATTATTATATCCATTTCAACACCCTCAAGTGTTATACCACAATAAACTTTTATTTTACATCCAAAATTAAAATTCACAACAATCATCTCATTTTCCTCACATTCAGCTCAAACATTTTCCAATAATCATAAAACAAGCTTCAGAAACTTGGCACAGCTTCACATCTCATATCTTGTTTCTTTAAACAATACAACATGAAAACGGTGGTAAAATGAGAAATTAACCCCAAAGCTAAATTAAGACATTTCCAACATACATCGAACATATTGAAAAATTGTCGGATGAGATTGGCAACAAAATAATAATGAAAATATTTCTCTCAACAACTTGGCAGCATGTGGCATTTGAAAATATGGATGGAAGGGATTAAAATAAGAATTGAGCTTGTATGTGAGTTCTTGACACAAATTTTTTTGTGCAGAAAAATTCTGTCGATGCTGCGACGGAGTTAAAAATTTATGGGAAGTTATCAAAAAGAGCTTAATTGAAGAGGGGATTTGGATCGGTTTTGGGTCAATTTTAACCTGCAACATCATTGTTTTCATCACAAAACTCACCATTCTCTTCACAAAAGTCACTATTCTCACCACATAACTCAACATTCTCCACACAAAACTCACCACACTCTCAACAAAAGTCACGATTCTTTTCACAAAAGTCACCAATCTCACCACAAAACTCACCACCGAACCTATCAATTTTGTAAAACATCTCAAACTTTTATTGCTCGCCCAAATTTACTGAATAACTGGTTGCCCATACCAATATTTGTACTCAAACCCCTAAAAATTCAATCAATTTCAATTCAGTCAGCATCACTTAAACATTCATTTCATCTGACTCAAGCACAAACGACACATAAAAGTCATTCCAAACAATTTTTTTTTCTCCTTTTAAGCATTTTTTTTTTCGATTTCTTCTCAATTTCAACTCAATTAAACTCTTAACTTCTTGAATCGTGTCTGCAACATAACTTTTCAAGCTCAATTGCATCTCGACTTAATTTTGTTCTAATTCAGAAGATTCTTTTATTTTGATTTCGTTGACTGGAAAGATGAAAGCTATGTTTTTTGGAGGGAGGAGGTGTAGATGTGTTCCAATTTTAGGATGCATTCCTATAAACCTTGGCCAATTCGAAGCGAAATTCTCTCAAGGATGTGATCAAAATTTAATCTACATGGTTTTTTGGCAGCAGATGTTGTCTAAGTTAAAAAGTCTCCTATTTAGCATCTAAACCGCGAATCGAGTAACTTTTCTAGAAAATTCTAGAATTTTAAAATAAAATATCCGAAAATTATCTCAATTGGCCCTAATTGTTCCTCTCCAAATGCTTAGCATTCACAATTTCATTAATTACAGCAAATTTCAGGCCCAATTTACTGTAATTACCCTAGAAACTCAGACAATCTTCTCTAATTGTATCCAAATTACCACCAAAATTTCAATTAAATATTTTTTTTACAATTTCAATTCTTTTTCATCCAACAAGCCCAGATCCACCATAACATTGAAAAAGAATCACTTAAAAATCATGAAAATCATTATGCAGATTTTTTGCATATTTTTTATAATAATATCAACAAATGGCGAGAAAAGGTTTGAAAAGATTGAAAAGTGTAACTCGAGTGGGAAAACATCTCAAGTTGTGCGATGTGATATCGCTGATGGAGCTTTAAATCTTATTGGAGAAATCATCAAGCCGTTGAAGTACTTGAACGTAAGTGGATATTTGAAGACGTGCTGTTTGAGTATATGAAGTTCCTGTTGATTGGGGGTTGCTCGATATCTCAATTTAATTCAAATATTTTATCAATTTTAGCAAACATTTTGCTTCTTTATTTCATCAAATGGGAAGTTCCGAAAAATTAGTGATTGCCTTAAAATGAACTGGTGTGACGTCACAGACCCGAAATTCTCTCTAAATCCATTCCAAATGAAAGTGATAAAAATGTTGAAAGTTGGTGCGAAGCAGTTATTCAAGCCATGTCCGATAGCTCCTGAAAGGATTGAACTAATAAATTATCGAGTTAATGAGGAATATTTAAAGTTTCTGCCAAGAGGAGTGGTTAAAGGAACTGCTCATTTTTTTAATGATGAAGATGAAAATGTTTTTACAATGATTGGATATTTGGTTTTTACTTAGGAACCTCGTGGGAACATGATTGTCGAGATCATACCGAAAATTGCTGTGATATTTGAAAAATCGCCTTTATGCTTGACGGAACATCATCCTAGTTGACTTTTTTCATTCCATTTTATTACTGTAACTTCAATTTCAACAATTTTGTCAAGAGTTGATATAATAAAAATTTTAAACATCCAAATTACAAGCAATTTAAGCCTTAATTATCCCATCACATGCCTATAGTCCAATCTTATTTTTTACAATTTGGCAATTTTCATTTTAACTGAATTTCCTTATCTCAATGATTCCCATGAGTCTGTATAGAATTTTGCAAAGTTAGAAGCAATTAAAATTAAAATTTATCAACTCAGTTTCAGTATTATTAACTGCATAACAGCTATGAAGCTCATCGCAACAACTTCTTTATTGGTTCTTTGGTTTGTAAGTTTTATAAAATGTGATAAAAGGTTTCAAAATTTGGAGGTCTGTAAGACAAGTGGAAAGACTACAAAACTGCTAAAATGTGAAATTGTTAATGGAAAATTGAACGTTTTGGTGGATAACTTGTATCAGCATACATCTATTAATGTAAGTAGCTAAGGATGAATAAGGTGGGACAGGATGGCAAAATAAGGGTATCAGAATTTTACGTAGCAGCAGAAGTCGCAAGAATAACCTAAAAAAAATCTTTTTAAATCATTTCCAGCAAACATTCTGCTTTGCTTTATCAGCAAGTGCCAAATTTGGACGAATGAAGTGTATCTATATGAATTGGTGTGACGTTACTAACCCAAAGTTCAAACTTGATAATCCGTTCCTTCAGAAAATCTTCAAAATGGTGAAAATCCAGCTTAGACAAGTGTTTAAAAAATGCCCATTTCCACTTGGACTGATTGAATTTAAAGAATTCGCACCAAATGATGAATACATAAACTTTTTACCTAGAGGAATCTGGAAGGTTTCTGCTCACTTTTACAGTGATGTTGATGAGGATATATTAACTAATAATATGTATTTTGTCAATTCTTAAAATTATCTATAACAATAAAGCTATCAGCAACAGCAACGCACAAAAACGAAAATTTTCAATTTTTTCTATCAAGACAAAAGAACCAGCAGGCAACAGAACCAGAATTAGGAAGCAATTTATGACTTTTCTTGATGTCACCAAAGAGAAACTTTTTCTATGTCTTCTTCTCACATCCAGCACCAAACTTCTTCGTTATCTTGTTTCATCAACAAACAGCATGAAATGCTCATGCAGCGTGCGTTGTTTCGTAAGTGTGTGTAACATACGTTACGATATAAATCTGGTGTGATAAGGCTTATGACGCTCGAAGCTTACGAGACAAACTTTTTCATTTATAATATTTTTTCCGGTCGACGGAAAGAAGACAAAACTGGCAGATGATTGATCATACGAGAGACATCAGCTCATAAAAAAGCTCAAACAATAAGCGACTGAAATGCTGTGATGAATTTTTGAGAATTGGGGGGAATTGGTAGCTTTAAAATAGAGTCGAAGACATCCATCTTTAGTCAATGATTTTGAACTGGAGTCAAAAACATCGAATTTAAGTCAAAAACCTCCAAGATATCAAACTGGGGTCAAATTAGCTAAGCTGAAAAAAATGCGCATTATTCACTCAAACAAAAAATGCCTTCCTTACTCGTCCACCCCTTATCTTTACAATCTTCTCACTGATTTCATTTTTCCTTCAAATTATATTTTTCACTCCTTTTATTCATCGCATGATTTATGTATTTTTATATAATGCGTCTGCCAGTGTCTCTCTATATTTCATGTGACATTAAATCACATGCCGATTTATACTTTTTTTCTCGCATTCGCTTACAATTGATGATGTTTTAAGTGCCTAAAAGCAAAAGCTTATTTTTAGCGCATTTTTGAAACTTGTTTCAAAAAGGTAGCTTATTAGCGCATTTTTGAAACTTGTTTCAAAAAGGTAGCTTAATAACGCACTTTGGTCGGCTGGTCGGCTGGCTGGTCGGCTGCTAAGAAAAACTTTTAATCTAGACATCGTAGAGAGTTCTAGTTTTTTGCATTAGTTCCGTTATATCGAGTTATTGGCCCGCCGGACATTTAAAAATCTTAAAACAGTGTATTTATGCTATAATTAATGAATTTTTGTTTTGTTTTCAGTGTAACCTGCTCAAATTTTATTTTACCTCTATAATTTCAATATTACCTCTATAATTTCAAAAAATTTCTAGCCGTTGTAAAATTTGAATTTCAAAAAACCGTTAAATGATAAACTTTTTTTGTATGGAAATTCATTGGAACAAATTATTTAATTATACTATAATTATTATTTCGTAGTGCAACTTATAGCGGGAAAATTTCAAACTATTTATTGACCGTTAGAAAATTTGAATTACAAAAAAATGTTAAATGATAAACCCTTTCTGTATGAAAATTCATTGCAACAAATTATTTAATTATACTATAATTAATTTTTTCGTAGTGCAACTTATAGCGGGAAAATTTCAAATTATTATTATATTGACCGTTAGAAAATTTGAATTACAAGAAACCGTTAAATGATAAACTCTTTCTGTATGGAAATTCATTGCAACAAATTGTTTAATTATACTATAATTAATTTTTTCGTAGTGCAACTTTTAACGGCAAAATTTCAAATTATTTACTGACCGTTAGAAAATTTGAATTACAAAAAATCGTTAAATGATAAATCCTTTCTGTATGGAAATTCATTGCAACAAATTATTTAATTATACTATAATTAATTTTTTCGTAGTGCAACTTATAGCGGGAAAATTTCAAATTATTTATTGACCGTTAGAAAATTTGAATTACAAAAAACCGTTAAATGATAAACCCTTTCTGTATGGAAATTCATTGCAACAAATTGTTTAATTATACTATAATTAATTTTTTCGTAGTGCAACTTTTAACGGCAAAATTTCAAATTATTTACTGACCGTTAGAAAATTTGAATTACAAAAAATCGTTAAATGATAAATCCTTTCTGTATGGAAATTCATTGCAACAAATTATTTAATTATACTATAATTAATTTTTTCGTAGTGCAACTTATAGCGGGAAAATTTCAAATTATTTACTGACCGTTAGAAAATTTGAATTACAAAAAATCGTTAAATGATAAATCCTTTCTGTATGGAAATTCATTGCAACAAATTATTTAATTATACTATAATTAATTTTTTCGTAGTGCAACTTATAGCGGGAAAATTTCAAATTATTTACTGACCGTTAGAAAATTTGAATTAAAAAAACCGTTAAATGATAAATCCTTTCTGTATGGAAATTCATTGCAACAAATTATTTAATTATACTATAATTAATTTTTTCGTAGTGCAACTTATAGCGGGAAAATTTCAAATTATTTATTGACCTTTAGAAAATTTGAATTACAAAAAAACCGTTAAATGATAAACCCTTTCTGTATGGAAATTTATTGCAACAAATTGTTTAATTATACTATAATTAATATTTTCGTAGTGCAACTTTTAACGGCAAAATTTCAAATTATTTATTGACCGTTAAATAATAATCCTTTCTATATAAGCATTCATTGTAACTTTTTGTTAATTACACTAAAATTAATGATCTTCTAATCTTCTCATGATCTGTAAATGAACGCAAAATAATTACATAATCAAATACTGATCGCTAACACAAAAATGCGCTTAAGTCCCTCGATCAATAACACGAGGACTTCTGTAATTTTTTTTTATTACACGCTTTTATTTAACTCACACTGTTTGTATATTTGCGTCAAATCTTGTAATTGATTTTTCGATCACTTCTCCTGCTCCATTCGAGCTCAAATTTATTTTGTATACGTATTCTCGGTGACAATACATTATTTTAACACTTTGGGACCACAAAAATGCTTAATTATAGTAAAATTTAAGTAAAACTTTTTTATATGGGAAAAAATCCAATGTCAATGACATAAACTTTTGATTTGTTTAAAATATTATACTAGAAATGCTCAAAAGTCATTTATATGATTCATTATAGTTTAATTAATATTACTAATTATTAATTATACCATAAATTTGAGCAGCTAAAGATATTCTGGTAAGACAAAAAAATTGACATGTAATTTTTTCATTAGTATTCGTAAGTGAAAATTTGAATTTTCAAAAAAACCGTTAAGCACAAGTCCGTTACGAATTAATGCAAAATAACTATTAATATGCGATGTGCATTTAGCACACATAATTTGAGCATAAACTTATGCTGTTTTTAATGTATTACATTATTTATAACACTTCACCAATTTAATTAAATTGACTTTTCTATTTATTAACGGCTTAACGTATTTTTGCATAACATATGAATGACATTCATTGAATTTAAATTTGAAAATCCGTTTTAAATTCGTTACATATAGATGTGATTTGCATCTTTATGTTAAAAATCTACATGTTATGTAGTAGGAATGGTACGGATAAATACAAAATCTTTAATTGAAGTAAGGACATTTTTAAAAGAGTTTCGTGTGTTTTCAGGTATGACTTAAATAATTTAATACGAATAAAAAATTTTGATAGTCTTTACAAATTAAAACTGGTAATCTTTAAATAGTTGAACGAAACGAAGTGCAACGAATTCGAGTTTAACACACCTGTTACCTATAAACCTACTGTAATCTATGAACAATTGAACGAAGCGGAGTTAAACGAAGTGAAGACTAACACTTCATGTAATCCAAAAACTGTAACCTCCTCATTAAGTCTGATAAAGTCAGTGTTGTAATAAAACAAAAGCTCCAAATTTTGGAAGTTGAATCGATTTACAGATTTGATAAGACTAAAAAGTAGAAAATAAAATACTATAAAAAAAAACTTTTTTAAAAAAGCACGCTTTTATTTCCGATTCCAGTGCACTAAAAAGGAGAAAATAATTTTTTTCTGAGAACTCAAATTTGATACAAAATTTTATGACTAAAAGTAAAAGCGTGGGGCGTTCAATTTTAACCATCTCTAGATTTTCTATAATATGT